CGTGGCTCAGTGGTAGAGCTCCTGACTAGAATTCCCAGTGAGGGGCTCTACTGTGTTTGCTTAGCATGCTCAAGATCCTGGGTTCTGTTCTAGCACTATACCCCAAATATGAGCTGGTACAGTGTCTGGCCTATAGTTTTCATGCTTCTTTCCAATGACAAGACTCCTCCTGACCTGGGTGCACCTAGGTAGCTTCTACAGCCTTGTTTCTCATCCCTCTGGATCTGCAATCCCAACAGACAGTTCTCAGCTCCCAGACCCCAAGATCCTGTCCCCACCCTTGGGACTTTGTACATGCCATCCTCTGCATAAGACCGTTGTCTTGCCTGTGCTCCACCAAGAAGCTCAGAAGTCAGCCTTTCCCAGAGCTTTGCTAACCCTGTAGTCAGTTTCCCGTGCCCCTCTGGATGCCTGGAATTCTGCAGGTATCACTAACTATTGGGTGCCCAGGCCCTCAGCTGTGGGCTCTGATTGGGAGGTAAGTGGACTTTATGGCTCTTATCTTGGACGATAGCTCTTGCAGCACGGAGTGAGCCATTTCACAGAAAATATGTTCAATGATGGGCGTGTCACGTAATGACGCATGGATTTGGGAATGAGTTTCTTTGGATGTGGGTCTTTTGAGATAGGGTCTTCCATGTTGCCCAGGCCAGCTTTGAACTTCTGATCTTCCTGCCTCAGCTTCCCAGGATTACAGATGTACTCAACCATATCCAGTTCGGGGATGCTTTCCTTCCCCAGCAGTTCCTTTCTTTGCTATAGTCTCTCTTTATTTTTCATAGCACTTCCTCTTCTTGAACCCCGCCATGGTCAGTCTCATGCTAGCCCCTCCCCCTCCCTCTTCCTATCACTGGGTCGCCCTGCTCCTCCCGCATCTGTAACCACTGTCTAGCACTCTTTCGTTGTGTTCCCTCTTCTTCTGGCAGGTGAGCTCTCCACCCTGTAGTCTCCTTGGGTGACCCAGTGGGCATCGAAAGTCACCATGTTCAGCTGGCTGAAGAAGGGCGGAGCTCGCGGCCAGCGACCTGAGGCCATCCGCACTGTGACCTCGTCCCTCAAGGAGCTGTATCGCACAAAGCTTCTGCCCCTGGAGGAACACTACCGTTTTGGGTCTTTCCATTCACCGGCCCTCGAAGATGCTGACTTCGATGGCAAACCCATGGTGCTGGTGGCCGGCCAGTATAGCACCGGCAAAACCAGCTTCATCCAGTACCTTCTGGAGCAGGAGGTCCCTGGCTCCCGCGTGGGTCCCGAGCCCACCACCGACTGTTTCGTAGCTGTCATGCATGGCGAGACAGAGGGCACCGTGCCTGGAAATGCCCTCGTTGTGGACCCAGAGAAGCCCTTCCGCAAACTCAACCCTTTTGGAAACACTTTCCTCAACAGGTGTGGAAACTGCCAGCCAGGAAGGGGGGGGCGGGCGAGGGACATCTGTCTCAGAATACTTCTGTCCTCAGCTCTGATTCTCTTCTTTCTGCCTACTTCTTTCCCTTCCTGCGTCTGTTCCCTCCCCTATTGGGGCCTGAGTTCCAATTGTGCCTCTGCCGCTGAATGCTGGGCAACCTTGGTCAAGTGATTTAACTTCTCTGTGCCTCTTATGTTCATCTGGAAAATGAAGGTAACAACAGTGGTGACTTGGGATATCCCTAGACACAGATAGAGTTTTATATAGATCCCATGATGCCTCTGGACTTTCTTCTTTCTGGGACTTCTGTCCTCTGCACCTCCCTTTCTTTATGGTACCGTTACTGTCCCTTCTTCACATCTCCTTTTGCCCTCCTTTCCGTTGACCCCTGACCTTCTGTCTCCCCGCACCCCAGGTTTATGTGCGCCCAGCTCCCCAACCAAGTCCTGGAGAGCATCAGCATCATCGACACGCCCGGCATCCTATCAGGTGCCAAACAGAGAGTGAGCCGGGGTGAGTGAGGAGGAAGCCCAGACTGAGGGAGGAGGCTGGGGCCCCCTGGACCCTTGCGTCTTGAGGAAGAGGCTGATACACGCAAGTCTGAGGGAGGAGGCTGGGCCTGGACTTCAGTGTGTACAGGAGGTGGGCTGAAAAAAAAAAAAGGCCTGCACCTTTAGATTTAATAGAAGAGACTGGGATTTCCTTTGATTGTCCCTCTGCAGGCAAATGGAGCTACAGAAGACAGGCATTCCTTCTATGGGGCTGGTGGTGGGGCGGGGAGACGCGGGTGAACACATGCAAACAGGCTGCGGCCACATGTCTGGGCGGGCCAGGAGGATGGAAAGGGAGAGAAGAAGTGGGATAGAAAAGGGGAGTGGGGGGCAGGAGATCCTCAGAGAGTCCAGGAAGAGACAGGGTTGGGCAGGGAGGCCCTGGGCCCCACGCTTGTCCCTCTGAGCTCCTGACTCAGAGGTTGGGCCGCAGATGAAGCTGAGAGGGAAAACCTGGGTGGGGGCCAAGGCTTGGCCTGGAATTTATAAACAGCTGTGCAGGGGGAGCAGCGGGGAGTAAATTCCAGCAGAGCCTCCAGTGAGCACACCCCCACCCACTCTGCCCACCCTCTTAGTCCCATTCCTATCCCGGTCTCTGTCCCCTCCCCCACACCTCCCCCATTCCAGTCTCTGGGTTCACAGCCCCTCTTTCCATCCTTGCCACCACCCTCATCTCTAGGCCTCGGCCATGGAATTAGGGCAAAGGAGGCAACAGTGTGGGGCAGAGGGGACCCAAGTCCAGGCAGGAGGCAGGGCCAGGGCAGGGCTTTGGCTCCAAAAGTGCCAGTGCCCCTGGCCGCTCTCCAGCAGAGCAGCCCCGAGGGAGAAACACAGGAGGCAGCTGTAGAAACGGTCACGGTGCTCTGCCAGCGGGAGGAGGGGAGCAGGGGGGAGGAATTCCTGGTGTGCTTAGCCCTTGGGTTGGGCCTAAAGGATGGAGGGAGCCCAAAGCCCCAGCTTCCGCAGGAGATGAAGAAGGGTGGGGACGGGGATCCCCTTCCTCTGGCCCTGGAGGCGTAGGAGGTGGAGCCTGACTGTCCAGGGGGACTCATGGGGGTGGTGAGAACTGGGGAAATCCTGGGGAAAGTAGTGTGTGATGGGTGTGGGTTGTGTGTCTGTCTGTGGTGGTGTGTGCTGACATGCGCGACATGGAGGCCATGACTCTGAAGTTGTGTGAGTTGATGGAAGTATGTGAGTTGCTGGCTACGTATGCTATGTACCTCTAATTGTGACTAGTTGTGATTTTATGAGATCTGGAGAGAAGGTGTGGGCCAGGAGGACATAGAGGAATCCTGTGAAGCTGTTTTATTGCAGTATTGGTGCCTTGAACACAGTAGACAACAAGCATGCCACGCCCCCAGCCTCTCACTGGAGGATTCTAGACAGGGGCTCTACCACTGAGCCACGCCCCCAGCCTCTCACTGGAGGATTCTAGACAGGGGCTCTACCACTGAGCCACGCCCCTAGCCCCTCACTGGGGGATTCTAGGCAGGGGCTCTACCACTGAGCCACGCCCCCAGCCCCTCACTGGGGGATTCTAGGCAGGGGCTCTACCACTGAGCCCCGCCCCCAGCCCCTCACTGGGGGATTCTAGGCAGGGGCTCTACCACTGAGCCACGCCCCCAGCCCCTCACTGGGGGATTCTAGGCAGGGGCTCTACCACTGAGCCACGCCCCCAGCCCCTCACTGGAGGATTCTAGGCAGGGGCTCTACCACTGAGCCATGCCCCCAGCCCCTCACTGGGGGATTCTAGGCAGGGGCTCTACCATTGAGTTACATAACTCTATACATTTATAAAATATGTGTGTATGTGTGCATGCACATGCATGTCTGAATCTGTATTTGTCTGTATGTGTTATACCTGTGCACCTTGAAAGGTGTTAAATTGCCAGAGAGAACTTACTCATGTGGCAGTACACATTCTAGCGCTGGGACAGGAGGATTGTGACGAGTTGGAGGCCAGCCTGGACATCACGGTGATAACTGCAGCACAGCGTGGGTTCAGATGGGCTTCTGTGCTGGAAAGTGCACTAATTTCTCTGTTTGTGATGGTATATACGTCCCATATCTGTGCAGGTCCCAGACTCTGACACATAAATATGTGTCTGGGAGCCTGTGTCTGGCTCCTGGAGACCCTGATGTATCCAGCTGTTTGACGCTGGTGTGCATTGGCAGAGGTGTGGCTGCCTGGGGAACTTTGCCCTGGTGTGACTGTTGCCTGGGGTGTCTTGCTGGCACACCTCCAGTCTGGACTCTACTCATTTTTCTCACTTCTTTGTTTTTGACACAGAGTCTTATTCTGTAGTTCAGGCTAGTCTGGAACTCACTATATGCTTCAAATTGGCCCCCAACTGGTGGCAATCCTCCTGCCTCGCTCAGCTGCTCTTGCACTGAGATGACAGGCATGCACCAGTACCACGGACTCTAGTCCCTGAAACTATAACTTATGCAAGCCACCTTGTGTTTCTGTGCCTCAGTTTCCCACCTGAGAATGGGGAGAAAGCTGTAGGGACTTCTGAGAAGGGTTAAATTAGCTGCATGGGGAAAATAGGTGCCTGGATGATGGACACGGAGAACTGTTTTTCTTGGGTGAACATCATGTCTCTCTGCCACGGCTCCATTCCTATGCTGACTCAACCTCCCTGCCCCCCTTCCCCTCCTTTTCTCCCTCCCTCCCTCTCTCCCTCTTAACCCCATGAGACACACTTTCCAAATCCAGGCCAGGGTGTAAGTAGATGCTAGTGTATGTGTGTGTGTGTGTATGTGTGTGTATGTGTGTGTGTGTGTGTGTGTGTGTGTGTGTATGTATGTGTGTGTATGTGTGTGTGTGTATGTGTGTGTGTGTGTGTGTATGTGTGTGTATGTGTGTGTGTGGGGCAGCTGCTGCCTCTAAACTGACCTGGCCTTTCCTTGCCCTCCCACCAGCAAGGACCAGGCTGCCCCCTGAGCCTTTGACAGGGAGTGTGGATAAGCAGCTACAGCTACTGAGGTGACTCCTACTCTGTTGCCTCCTGTGTTCGTGGCTTCTGTGTCTCCATTTCCTCGGCTGGAGAATGGAGTCATTAATTGCCTGCCTATAATTGTGTTTTGCGGGATGAGCGAGTCTGTTCTACCCCCAAGGTCAAGTCAGGACATCAGTGATGTCCCCTTGTCCTGTCATTTGCTGGCTCCATAACCTCTCCTCCAGGAAGTCCACACTTAGGCCAGATCATGGGACTCTAGGGAACTCTCCACAGCTTCCAGGAACCCCACATCCTAACCTGACCACTCTGAAGACAAATTTGTCCCCAGACTCTAAGGGCAGAGTTGGTGTCACCTCAACCTCCCTTTCTGCTGGCACAGTAGCACACCATCTTCAGTTTTTCCCAGAGATAAGCCTTTTTTTTTTTTTTTTGAGTCAAGGTTTCTCTATGTAGCCCCACCTGTCTTGGAACTCTGGCCTTGAACTCACAGAGATCTGCCTGCCTCTACCTCCCAAGTGCTGGGACTAAAGGCATGCTCAGCCATGCCCCGGCCTAGATTTTTTTTTTTTTTTAATTTTAGGGGATAGGCAAGTTCAGAAAGGTTGAGCTGCTCGCCTACTATCACACAGTAAATGGGAGCAGGGCAGCAACTCCTGATTGACAGGTCAGGGTCGGTCTTGTACTCTCAGCGCTCCTAAGCTTCGCTCATCAGTGAATGCACAAGTGAATGAGTAAAGGTGAGAAGTATTGAAGGGCATGAATGGGAAAAGAAATGAATGAATGAATGAATGAATGAATGAGGGACTGGATGCACACTAATCATCAAACATACATGCTGTCAAGACCATGGCACTACTAGAGAGATGGCTCAGTGGGTAAGAGTGCAAATTGCTCTTGTAGAGGAACCAAGCTCGGTTCCCAGCACCCACACTGGGCCGCTCACAACCGCTTGTAACTTTACCTCCAGGGGATCTGACATCTATGGCTTCCATGGGTATCTGTACTCATGTGCACCCCCTCCCACACACACACACACAGACAGACAGACAGACGCACACAAGAGCAGACAACCACACAGACATACACAGACACAAACAGATACATATACACACAGACACATACAAAGACACACACAGGTACATATGCATACACACAGACAGACAGACAGACAGACAGACACACAGATGTATAGACATACACAGACAGACAAACAGACACACACACAGGAGCAGACAACCACACAGACATACATACAAACACAGACAGACATTCACACATACATACATAGACAGACACACAAACAGACAGACAGACACAGACACACAGATACATATGCATACACACAGACAGGAACACATAGACACACAGGAGCAGACATACAGAGACACACTCAGACATAACACATAAACCCACAGACACACACAGACATACACTGATACATAGACATACACACAGACAGATAAACACACAGAGACATACACAGATACCTAGACACACACACACGAGAAAATTGTCCTAGTATCTTGCCCTCTTGTCACTCAGTTGCTGGCACATCCAACAAGTCCCAGGAAGGGCCCTTGTCAGGGGCATGTCAGGCGTTAGGAGTGGGCTCATAAGTACTGGGAGTCTCTTTGAGATCATTTTAGGATTTTTCTTTGAGACAAGGTCTAATATATAACTCTAGGTCTCCAGGAACTCACTCTGTAGATCAGGCCTGAAACTCAAAAGAGATCCACCTGCCTCTGCCTCCTGAGTGCTGGGATTAAAGGCATGCGCTACCATCTCTAGCCACTTCAGGAATTTTGAAGTGTGTGTACGTGGGAGGGCTGGCTCTGTGGTTAGGAGCACTTGCTGCTCTTACAGAGGACCCAAGTTCATTTCCCAGCCACCCAAGTCAGGTAACTCACAACCACCCAAAATTCCTGCTGCAGGCAGTCTGTTTGACATACTCTGGTCTCTGTGGGCACCTGTACACATGTGTACACAAACCCACACAGACACACACACACACAAATGACATTTTAAACTGTATATAAAATGTTTATGCATATGTGTCCTAGTGTGAATGTATACATGAATACAGGTCCCCAAGGAGGCCAGAAGAGAACTCGGGACCCCCTGGCGCTGGAGTTACAGGAGGTGGTAAGATACCTGCTGTGGGTGCTGGGCACCAACTAAACTGGGGTCTTCTGAGAGGGCAGTGTGTTCTCTGAACTGCTGAGCCTCCAACCTTAGCATCTAAAAGTATTTTTATTACATTTTATTTCTTGTGTGGCTCGAGGTGGGTACATGCCACAGCCTATGAGAGGAGGCCAGAGGACAACTGCAAGTTGTCCACTCTGAGCCATCTTACAGGCCCCATGCCTCAGGAGTTTAACTGCCCATAAGTACATCCATGTTAAAACGAATCCCTGATATCTGCCTAGGGAATGAATGAAAAAGCCAAGGATGTAGGAACGGGGGTGGGGGATGGAGGCAGTGACAAGGGGTGGGGGGCATGGCTGCCTCATCCTAGGGAACCAGATGGCTTGGGGGTCTGGTCAAACGCTGGGTGCTGAGAAGTGGCAGTTATGGCTCCGGGCTATTTGGCATGCACAGGAATTAACATAGTTAACAACATGCGGCCTGTCAGTGGTGGCCCACGCCTTTAGTTAATCCCAGCACTAGGAAGGCAGACGCAGGCGGATCTCTGAGCAGCCTGGCCCACAGAGCAAGTTCCAGAACGGCCAGGGATGCATGGAAAAATCTTGTCTTGTAAAAAACAAAAACAAACAAACAAACAAACAAACAAAACAAAGCAAAAAACCGTTCTGAGCATCTGTACTATCCAGTGTCAGCTCTAAAGAACTGTTCCTTGTGTCCCCGTCTCCCGCTTGCTCCAGGCTACGACTTCCCAGCTGTCCTGCGCTGGTTTGCTGAGCGCGTGGACCTCATCATCTTGCTCTTTGACGCTCACAAGCTGGAGATTTCCGATGAATTCTCAGAGGCCATTGGTGCCTTGCGTGGCCACGAGGACAAGATCCGCGTGGTACTCAACAAGGCAGACATGGTGGAGACGCAGCAGCTGATGCGTGTTTACGGGGCGCTCATGTGGGCGCTGGGCAAGGTGGTGGGCACGCCTGAGGTCCTTCGCGTCTACATTGGCTCCTTCTGGTCCCAGCCGCTCCTTGTGCCGGATAACCGGCGTCTCTTCGAGTTGGAGGAACAGGACCTCTTCCGTGATATCCAAGGCCTACCACGCCACGCGGCGCTGCGCAAGCTCAACGACCTAGTGAAGCGGGCGCGGCTGGTGCGGGTGAGCACATCGGGTCCACGGGAGGATCCGAGAAAATTGAGGGAGGATTGAAAGGGAGATCAGGAGATGAGGGAGGAAGTCAGGAGGCTGTATGAGCACTGAAGGAAATTGAGGAGTACTTGGGGGAGGAATTGGGGAGGACTTTGCGAGGCTTTGGAGGATTGAAGGAGTCATAGGAGCCCTAAGTTGGAAGCCTTGAAGAGGCTGGACAGATTTATCTTTTCTCTTTCTTTTCTGCTTGTGCAGCTAGGTAGGCACCACCTAGGTCCCAGTTAATTCTCCTGATGGATTGCTCTGGTGCAGCATGGACTGTGCAGAGGGTCCCAGTTCTACCACTGCCCTGAGTTTGCATGTTTCCTTCTTTGTTTCCATCATATCGTTGGGCTCCTCTCTCCTATCCCACTGAACAAAAGCCAAGTCCTCTTGGTGGCTGTCTTACTCTTCTGTAGCTGTGGAGAGACACCATGACCATGGCAACTTATAAAAGAAAAGGTTACTGGTGCTCCTGGCTCCAGAGGGTTAGCGACCATGACCATTGTGATGGGGAGGCTGGCAGCAGGCAAGCATGGTGCAGGAGCAACAGCTGAACGCTTAAGACAGCACAAGACAGAGAGCAGGAGAGTGCTAACTGGGAATGCTGTGGTCCTTTAAAACCTAAAGGCCTACCCCCAGTGACATACCTACTCCAACAAGGCCAGGCCTCTAAATCCTTCCCAAAGAGTTCCATAAACTGGGGACTAAGTATTCAAATACAAGAACCTAGGAGAGTTCAATCTGATTCAAACCAACACAGCAGCTCACTCCTTTCCCTACCTCCTCACCTCTCACTCCCTTCCCATCAGCCACTGCACTTCACACCGGCCTCAATCCCACCCACATCAGGGCCTTTTGTACTTAACAGCTTGCTCTTCTGGGTAGCCTTCTCTTCCCTTTGACTTTGCACATGGCTCACTCAAATGTCACCTTCTCAGGAAGGTGCCACTCCTTTAATGAGCATATCTGCTCTAGATTTACCCCTAACCCTATTGTGACCCCCCAGCCCCACAACCCCCGTGTTGTCATCTCATGTGAGCCTGTCAGGGGCCCCTGTTTTCTGCCTCCTCAACTCCATTTTCAAGTACTCAGATACCTGGCGTCTTAGAATTCCTTCAGTGAGTGTCTCCAGCGCCTGGGTCTGAATTGCTCTGTAAATATTTATGGAATGAATGACACTCTGGGGAACTTCAGCTTGAACAAAGTCACTTCTGTCCCTCGCCCTCTGCTGGGACATGGTGGGGACGCAGCGATGGTCAAGGCTGTTCTTGCCCTGCCCAGTGAGGCTCCAGGTCTGAATGCCCCAGGACAGTTTCAGGACTCAATCTTTGCAGGAGAAGACAGACAGATCCATCCCATAGCAGTGATAGCCAAGGAGGGTCCAGTCTCCGGGCCGGGTGGAATCAGAAAGGCTTCGTAGAGGAGAGGGCATCTGTGGGGATACTCAGTGAGACTGAGGAGGTGGTGGGAGTCAGAACACTGCCGATCCTATGGACTACGTCAAGGATCTTATGTTTTAGGGGTACCAGGGAGACACGGAAAGCTTTAGAGCAGGGTGACAGGATTGCACTCAAGCTGCCTCCTGGAGAGAGGATTCATGTCTAGGAAGAACCTAGGGGGTTGGAAGACATAGTCTGCCTCGGGCTGGGCCCCAGAGAGGAAGAGGGAGGCAAGGGCTTTGCTTTCAGAGCCGAATGGAGCATTCACAAGGGAGGCCGCCAGGGAGGAGGTGGGGCAGGAAGCTGGACAGGAGAAGAGGCCAAGAAGGTTCTAGGTGGTAGAGGCATCCAAGGTGTGGTTTAAAGAGCTGGAGAAGAGTGAATCACCACCTCCAACCTCACTGCAGGAATCCGCTAAGGGAGCACCAGGTGCCCAGGGAGACTTCCCAGGCGGCCAGAGGCGTCCTTAGGTCACGGAGTCCCCATCAACATCTCCCTTTCCCAATTCTTTCCTCCTGTTCATACTCTTTTCCTAGTCTTCTCTCCCTTCCCACCTCTCCCTCTCGCTTTCTCAGTACCCCCTGGCCCACCCTCACTTCCGGCTGCAGGGACACTCTTGGGAAGCAGAAGCCAGAGCTGGGCCCCGCGGCACCGGGACCAAGGAAAAGGGCCGGACACCTGGCGCCCCGGCCAGGAGGGAGGTGGCTCCGGAAACTCAGGACAAACCCCGGCGTCCGACCTGCGCCCCGGCCCTGCCCACGCTACCCCCTTATCTCTTCCTGCCACCTTCCCATGCTTCCTCTCTGGAAAAGCCATCAGCGCTCCTGCCTGCCTCCTTCTGCCACGGGGGCCACAGCAGGACCGCCCCTACCACGGTCTTCGCAGACTCTGTCCCTCCCATTTGGGCCACCCTGGAAGGCCACACCCCTTGAGTAGCAAGCCACGCCTCCCCATTGCCAAGTCCTTGCCCATCCTCAGGCCGCGCCCCTAATTAGCCTATTCTCTCAGTCAGAAGCTTCCCGTTAACTCACTCTAGCAGGCCACACCTCCTCCCCAATGGCGGATTCTCACTGGCCACATCCCCACACATCCTTCATTAACCTGCTCTGGCAGGTCCTGTCCTTCTCAAGTGACCCACTATCTCAAACCCTAACCCTTCCCGTCGGCCAGCCATTTTAGCCCCTCTCCTCATTACTTTCCTGGCAAGCCCTGCTCTTCCTTACCGGCTTTCTCTGCTCAACCACGCACTTTCTCCATTGACTCCCGGTAGCAGGCAGTGACTTTCATCTTGACCACACCCCTACCCTGACTGGCCTCTCTGACCTGTAGGGTATGCTTTCCCCTAGTCCTGCAAACTCGTCCTTAGTTCCTCTGGTGCCTCTGTGTTTCAGTCTTCAGGGTTGGCTCTGACCAAACTTCATGATGCCATCCCACTTCGTGGGCACACCCTCACACACACACCCCTTACAAATGATCCAGGACACACTTGGTCTGGTCACCAATAACAGCGAACATGGCTTTAACCTCCCTTGAAAACGCTGTCCTTTGGTGGTGCAAGGCCATTAAGGCCAAAAAGCTGCTCCTTAAGGGTTCTCTGTAACCCACCCCAGTGCCTCAGTTTCATATTTGTACGAGGCAAAACGTGCATGACCTCTCTGGCTCTCTGGCTCTGCCCTTTGGTGGAAGTATAAACCACTAGAAGGTGTGACTCCAGAATGCTGTATGCTTGTAGACAAGATCTGGGAAGAATTTAATTTTTTTAAATCATTGTTGAGGGCTGGAGAGATGGCTCAGTGGTTAAATCATTGTTGAATTTTTTTGATTATTTTATTTTATCCTGTGTGAGCATGATATATGTGCTGTCCATGCATTCATATGCCACATTCTGTCTCTTGAGGCCAGAGGACAATTTGTGTGAGTTCCCTCCTTCCACGTGTGGGTCCCAGTGACTCAACTCAGGGTTGGAGACAAGCATCTTTACCCCTGCCCATTCATATCCCCGGCCTTATTGATCTTCCATTTGAACATGCCTGTCCAATGATGGAGCTGGCTGTAAACAGCAGACATGCCTGAGTTTCATTATTCTGCCACCCTTGATTATTTTTCAATAACTTATGAGAATATGGTTCAAAGGTTCTCAAGTTCGGTGGCTTTTTCTCCACAATGATTTCCTGAGTGACACTGTGCATATTGTCCCAGGACTGGAGACAGAGGAAACAGATAAAGGCCTGGCCGGCAGAGCTTGTCGTTTGATGGAGGGAAATGGAGTGGTTAGATAAAATAATGATGACTCCAGCCCAACTGTGAAAAGGACAGGCTGGAGAGAAGCAGATGGCAATGACACAGGCTCTTGGTTTTCATGGACAAACTCAGTGGGAAGACTGGGGCAGAGCTCCAGGCAGAGAGCACGGTCATATGCACACGCCCTGGGGAGGGGGAAATGTTGGTGTACTGGTCGTTGAGAAATGCTGGTGAGCAGTATATGAAGGGGAAAGTCAAGGGAGAGGCTGTGGGGGCAGCCGTAGGAGCCAATCAGGGAGAGGAGTGGGCTCTTAAGAATCCTTGAGGGGTAGCTGGAAAGATGCTCGACAGTTTAGAGCACTGGTTGCTTTTCTAGAGGATCCAGCTTTGGTTCCCAGCACCCACATGGCTGCTTACAATCAATTCTAACTCTAGTCCCACAGGATCTGATATCCTCTTCTGGCAACTGTGGGTACTGTACACATATGGTGCTCAGACATGCAGACAAAACACCCATACGCATGTAAACGTTTTTCAATGCAAACAACAAATGGAAGTCTTTCTAACCTCAGCATTCAGGAGGCTGAGGCAGAAAGATTGCTAGTTTAAGTGCAACTGGACCACTCAAGGATTCTTAAGACACTAAAGTGTCCAGTCTCTGGCCTCCGTGGGATGGGTGGAGTTTGGACATCCTTTTGCAGAGCTAGGCACGGCTAAGGGCAACTTGTTCTGGGTTGAGCCCAAGAGCCTTGGAGAGAGCATCAGGCTGTGGAGCTGGGTAGGAATGTGAACAGGAGATAGGCAAGTCCCAGCTCTGGGCTGGTATGTGGGTGAGGCCAGCTTGCAGGAGCTTACAGCTGAGAGAAGCTGAGATGGTTTAGCAGAGAGGGAAGCTTAGGTTGAATTCCACTAGATAAGATAGTGGGGGTTTACCTGCCTTTAACATATTAGAGAAGTTCTGGTCAGACATGGTGGCTTGAAGCTGCACTCTCAGCATTGAAGAGGCTGAGGCAGGAGGATGGTTGCAAGTTTGAATCCAGCCTGGAGTACATAGTGCAACCTTCTCTAACAATCCCAGGAGGAAACCTGTGCACAGGGATGCACATTTGTCATCCTGGAACTCTGGAGATGGAGGAAGGAGGACCAGGAGTTCAGGGCCAGACTGGGTTAAAGCGACCCTGTCTCAGAGAGAAAGGAATGCAGATTCCCAGGCCCTGTCCACTCCCAGCCTCCTCCTGGTGACTGTACTATGCCTTTCTACAGGTGCACGCTTACATCATCAGCTACCTGAAGAAAGAGATGCCCTCAGTGTTCGGAAAGGAAAACAAAAAGAAGCAACTGATCCTCAAGCTGCCTGTCATCTTCGCAAAGATCCAGCTAGAGCACCACATCTCCCCTGGAGACTTTCCTGACTGCCAGAAGATGCAGGTGGGGGGCCCACTCCAGATGGGGAGGCAGGGTGTTGAGGAGAGTTTGCTGGGGGTTCTGAGAATGGGGCCTGGAAGGCTGGAGGCCTGTGTGGCATTTTTATCCAGGGGAATCTGGCTTTATGAGTTAGAGTCACAGAGTGCAGAGGAAACGTATAGTAGTAGTTAACATGGAAGTTACTTTTTCCTCTTAGTCACTTGAATATACTTAGGGTCAGGCAACCTACTATGGAGCCTAGGACCTAAACTGTATTTCTCTTTTCCATGTTTGCCCATAACCAAGAGTTCTCATGGTATTAATGGCTACAGAAACTCCAGTAATTGTGCCTGCATTCCAGACAGCAAGACGAGAGAGGGGGGCTGGGCAGTGGCTCAGAGCTTAAGAGCACTTACTGCCCTTGGAGGGGTCCTAGGTTCCTAGACTTACACCCACATTGCAGTTCACAACCATCTATAACTCCAATTCTGGGGGATCCAATGCCCTTTTGACCTCCACGGGAACCAGATACACATGTGGTGCACAGGCATACACACAGGCAAAGCACTCCATACTCATAAAATAAATATTTTAACATAAGAAAGAGAGAGGAACTAGGCCAGGTCCTATATGCCAGTAATCTAAGCAATTGAAAGGTAGAGACAGGAAGGTCAAGAACTCAAGGATATCTTAGCTACGGAAGGAGTTCGATGCTAGCCTGGGCTGCATAGGACCCTATCTTTTTTTTTTTTTTTTTTTTTGTTTTTTTTGTTTTTCGAGACAGGGTTTCTCTGTATAGCCCTGGCTGTGCAGGGATTAAAGGAGTGCGCCACCACCACCCATCGGATCCTATCTTTGAAAGGAGAAAGTGTCTTTCTTTAAGGACACTACATTTTACTTTAATGGAAATAGTCCAAGCGGTAATGCCCAGTATGGTAGCCTCTGACCATATTAAACCTGAGTTACACTCAGGTATGTTGATCTTTACCTATCAATCCCAGTGCTGGGGAGAGGTGCAAAGGAGAGATGATCACAAGTTCAAGGCCAGTCTAGGTTACATAGAGAGTTCTAGGCCAGCCTGGGATGAGTTGCATAGTCAGGCCCTGTCGATAGCTAGCAAAAACAAAAGAGACAGGAGAGATGGCTCAATGGTTAAGAACATGCATGTTCTTTCAGAGAACCCAGATTCAGTTCCCAGAATGAATGGCTCACGTGGTGGCTCACAACCATCTGTAACTCCAGTTTCAGGAGATGTGATACCCTCTTCATGCCTCTGTGGGTTCCTGCATATATACAGTACACGTGAACTAGTATAAGCACATGCACAAATATAAAAATAATAAATTCAAAAAAACCAAAATGGAATTCTAGATTAAGCTACTTTACATAACCACATGCAGCTTGTGGGTACCATATTAAACTGGGTAATGCAACTTGTGCTTAAAGACAATTGGCTGGAACTTAGTCACATGGCCAGCTGGCTGTCCTGCATGCTAAGAAGTGTATATAAGCTTTTCCTATAGGCAGGCAGACTCTAAAGTGATTTAGCATGCCCAGCTACTTGGAAAGCTGAGACGGGAAGATAACAAAATGGAAAGCCAATGCTCACACCTTATAAAGATCATGTCTGAAACAGTTTAAAATAAGCAAAAGAGAATTGATGGTACATACATGTGTGTGATGACATTTGTAAAGTGAAGGCAGAAAAATCAGAAGTTTGAGACTATCTCTTAACACAGCGAGTTGGAGGGTTGCCTGGGTTAGAAGAGACTCTGGCTCAAAGGGGGAGAAACGTAAAACAGGACTGGGCTCATTAGTGACAGAGTATCTGCCTAGAATCCCCCAGTGAGGAGCTGAGGGTGTGGCCTAGAATCCCCCAGTGAGGAGCTGAGGGCATGGCCTAGAATC